TAAGTAGAGCAACACCTAAACCCGAAAAAGAAACCCACACCCGTAACCACACCCCACACCCACATCCACACCCACACCCACACCCACACCCACACCCACACCCACACCCACACCCACACCCACACCCTCTTCAAATCAATATCCTTCATTTTATTTATTATTTATCTACTTATATTTAGATTATTCAGTGATTTACTTCAATTATCGATTTGTTTACTTCATTATTTACTTATATTAAATCATCTTCATGTCAAAATCAAATTATTCGTCTCAACGTTCACATCATCAATCATCTCGTTCAGGTCTTGCAACATCTCGTATACATCACTCACGATATTCATCAACAAAAACAATCAACAAATCAAAACAAAATAGTCAAGCACAGGAGGATTATCCATTATTTCATGTTCATTCGTCAGATTATGAAATTATATTTGTGAATAATAAAACATCAACAGATATGATAAACAAATCATTGAATCATATGGATACATGCAAACAGTATGCAATAGACACAGAATCTGAACGAACAAATAATCAATTATCATTAATTCAGATTAACTCAATACCAATTAAACCACCATCATTCGTAATGTTATTCGAGTTGAACCATTTACCAGATCGGAATTCACAAAAGTATGAAAGCATTCATCAGTTGTTTCAATTAATTTTTAGGTTAGGCAACGAAATTTATTCTTGGGGGAACATGGAAAAAGAACTTGCACCAGCAAAAGAATTGTTTACCTGGTCAATTCTAGCTGAATTACTTGATATTCAACCGCATTTTCCAGTGTGGTATAATTGGGCACGGACCCAGTGTGAGGTCCAGAACCTGTTACATCGAAATGATAAAAATAATGATAAGGAATTTACACAACAACATCATCAACAGTCATCATGTTATTGTCATCCACCATCACCATACAAAATTAATGAACTTTGGTCTCTTCAAAATGCATTTATATATGGGTGTAACTTATTTATTGATAAATCATGTACATTAAGTCACTGGTCATTAAGTTTAACATCAAGTCATTCATCATTATCACATGCTGATCGGATAAAGATGACCCATTATGCTACACACGATGTTATGGCTGTTACATTTTTAATACGACCAATTACTGAAAAATGGACATTTGATAAAATTAAGAATAGGAAAATGAATAAGATGTTCGTCGCATTTAATTCAACTAAACTTCCATCATTACCAACATCAACAACAAATAAATGCGAAAACCTCGGATTTAAATCCGAGTGTTATGTGTACTTCAAAAAGTGAAAAGGTATATTCACTGTGTTTTTTATTCACTAAATTGCAAGGAGAAAATACAGGCGTGCTAAGTTAGCATGGACCATACTGTATGCGACCCTATCCGGTGACCACTGACTCTACTCTCAGAGTGATATAATATCTTTAGAAATCACA